AATTCTATCACCTTTTCAGCAACTGCTGGCAAAAACGCTCCCTTTAGATTACCACTTCTATCCCCATTTATTCCGAGAGACTTCCCCTTCCGAACTGCCCTTCTTATTAACCTCCTTACTACATAACCTCTGCCAATATTTGAAGGCGAAACACCGTCTGATATGAGATAGACAACTGCCCGCATGTGATCTGCAATCACTTTAAGGCTTGTCTTTGCTTTGTCATTTGCAGAGTCATATGAGATATTCGCCAACTCTGAGGTCTTCTCAATGATTGGATATATCAAATCTGTCTCATAGTTGTTTGGAACCTTCTGAAGGATTTGAGCTATACGTTCCAGACCAAGACCAGTGTCAATATTCTTCTGTTTCAAGGGCTCAAGCAATCCATCTTCCGTCTTGTTATACTGCATAAAAACCAAATTATAGAACTCGATAAATCTGGTATCATCCCCAAGATCAACATCTTCATTATAACCTCTCTCCGGATAGAAGTCATAATACAACTCTGAGCATGGACCACAAGGACCAGTTGGTCCACTGGTCCAAAAGTTGTCAGCTTCACCCATTCTCTTTATCCGCTCAACAGGCACACCAACTTCATTCTTCCAGATTTCAAAAGCTTCATCATCGTCTTCGTAAATGCTAACCCAAACTCTATGAGCAGGTAGGCCAAACTCTTTAGTTGATAGCTCCCATGCCCACCTTATCGCATCTTTCTTGAAGTAATCTCCAAAGCTAAAGTTCCCAAGCATCTCAAAGAAGGTATGATGCCTGGCCGTTTTTCCAACATTCTCCAAATCGTTGGTACGTATGCACCTTTGTGCAGTGGTTGCACAAGGAACCTGTCTAGGCACCTACATCAATTTAAAAAAAAAGTCCCACCAACATACATTATCTTCAAGTCTCTAAATGCACGAAAACAGTAACGTTTGGCTTGAGCTATATTTATACCTTTCCAAGGAAAATAGGCTTAAACTGAAGCATTCCAGCAATTGTTAATAAGACAGTAGGATCTTCTGGCACGAGAGACGCGCTTGGAAGCAATTTATGCCCACGAGAGGCATAGAATTCGAGAAAACGCCGACGTATTGAGTCTCCACTAACATCATTGGACTGAAAACCCTCCCTAGCGTCCTCAGACACCGGCTGTACTGATACTGAAATCCACATAGTAAAGATGATATTTTCAGTCCCCCAAATTCAAATTGAAGAGACAAACACACACAGATTATGTAGAAACAATAAGTGCAAAACCTGATGAACTCTTAGCAATAATCTGAGAAGAGTGAGTTGATTTGGGAAGCAAGATAGCAGGAGAAACACCTGTAGAGGTTCTGGTAACAAAACCTGCAAAACCATAATATCAATAAATTAACTCCAAAATGAGATGAATACAACAAGAAGAGAGAATAACAAACAAAGCTTAAGAATTTTCACTTATCAATCAAATTATAAAAATTCATATTGTATAACAACCCCTCTGGAGCCCAATTAGATTTCATTGTAAGCTACATCACCACTAATCATGTACAGAGTCGACAGACCAAGATAGTGGCAATTTCATGGATACGAGCTCTGTATCAAAAAAAAAAAAAAGAAAGAGAACCCAATTGAGAAACCCAGAATTGAATTTCCCCCACTAACTGTCTAACACGAAACTAGATGAATCCTCAATCTCTTTTACTTAATGTTGAAATATAATTTTTATAAAAAAAAACGTAGAGATAGATTGAGAAAAGGGAGAACGAAGAGATTAGCTTACGTTTAGAAAGGAGAAAAGAAGAAGGATGCGAAAGTAAAATTGGTCTAAGAGGAACATCGAAAAGGTTTACTCTGGTGAAATTCATCGGATAAGTGTTTCAGACAGAAGAAGGAAGAAGAAGACACAGTGATGTGCCTTTGAAGTGTAGCTCTCTATATTTGTTTTATTATCCACTTCTTTGTGGTTTGAAATTATTTTATTAATCAAATTATTTAGTTAACTCGTTAAATAGGTGTATGGGTAAATTACCTTCATTATAGCCAGAGACCTCGAGATTACCCTTAGAAACAAATTTCTTGTTGTTGTTATTAAACATAACTCAAATTTCTCTTCTTCTACAATTCTACTTTATACAACAATGATCTTACTCTATATATACTCTTAATAGTGGATAAAGATGACAACGAAGAATGAGGTTCTTTATCTGTAGGATCATAAACATAAGCATGTTTTGGAGAAGCATTGAGTTACGCTCTTTCTAAAGGAAATATACTGAGGCTTGAAAGGCTAATTCCGGAATCAGTGCGATGTTATTATCAGAGCATGGATTTTTCAATCATCTAACTCTATTGGAGGAGAGACATGGATCTTTGTTATACCTCTGCATCATAAGTACTGTTAAAGAAGAGATGCTGCCTTTGAACCCTATAGACTCAAACCAGTTCACGCTTTCATCCGAAGAATTAAGATGATCACAAGTTTTTGAAGCTCAGAACATATTATAGAGGCTTCACTATCCGATCCTTCCTAGGAGACCTACGCTATGTGTCTTTTTTATGTTTTCCAGTAGACTAAGTAGTAAGTAAGTAGTGAGTGAAGTTGGGAGCTGTTTTTCATAGTATAAAATGTTTACGTGTGCATAAATCGTATAGACGTTAGACGTATGAGAGTTAGGAACGACAAGTGTCAAAATGGCACACATAACGTAATTGAACTATAAATGTAAAAGACAAATCAATGCCCGAGAGTACTCTCGCAACTACTTTCTTTCAATGTCTCTCTCTCACTGGCCTCTGCTTAAGTCTTTTTACTCTCTTTTTTTCAGGCCAACCAGAGAACACATCAGTGTATTGTGCGTATATCCGAGACAGAAGAAACATACATACAAACGTTACAATATACTACTATATATCATTATATATAAAAACATTGGAGTCCACCTAACTCTATATATCACATTAAATACTATCCCCCAAATGTTTGTTTGTTCTCTATATATATAAATACCCTTGCATGCCAAACTACATAACACTCATGCTACTCATATAAGCATCGCCATTATAACCTTCATATATCTTTTTGAACAAAAAATAAAATGATGGGTCTCTCGGGAGTGGGAGTTTTGTCAAATCTATATGTAATGGTTGGGTTTTTAATGGTTCTTGAGGTAATGGTGGTGATGGAGGCACAGCCACTGGTTCCATCCATGTTCATATTTGGTGATTCAGTGGCTGATGTTGGAAACAACAATGATATCTACACTATCGTTAAAGCTAATTTTCCTCCTTATGGAAGAGATTTCACAACCCATAAACCCACCGGCCGCTTCTGCAACGGAAAGTTAGCTACTGACTTCACCGGTACTTCTTTTTTCTTATATTCAATTCCAATTATTCGAAATGATATATGTAATAGTGAGTGACATATATACAATGCATGTGTACTCCAAACATGATGATGATCTAGAAGGCATCTTTGTGTGAAGTTTGTGATTTCTAGCAAGGATTTAAAACTAAAAGTAGAACATTGAGAGCCATGACTTGATAATGATTCTTCAACTTAGAGTAGAAAAATAATTAATTGTTGGATTGTATTTGCATGGGCCGGGGTGTTAAGTAAACAATTTATTTGAAATGAAATACGAAGAAAACAATGTACATGCATTAGGTTGATATGTGTGCATGCAGCATGTATATGTGTACATGCATACACATATAATAATAATGAAATAAAGATCAATATATTGTGCAGCTGAGAATCTTGGGTTCACATCATACCCACAAGCTTATCTAAGCAAAAAGGCAAAAGGCAGAAACCTTTTGATTGGAGCTAACTTTGCCTCTGCAGCCTCTGGCTATTACGATGACACAGCCAAGCTCTACGTTAGTAAAATGCTAATTCTATTTTCTTTTATTTGTCATCTAACAATAAATTGAATCCTAATTAATTGAAAACGTCATGTTACTTAATCTCATTGTGGATAATGAAGGGTGCAATATCGTTGCCGCAACAGCTTGAACATTACAAAGACTATACAAGCCGAATCCAAGATTTGGCAACCTCAAACAACAATGTAAACGCGAGCTCCATAATCTCCAATGGCATATATATCGTCAGCGCAGGTAGCAGTGACTTCATACAAAACTACTATATCAACCCTCTTCTCTACAAAGTCCAATCACCTGATGACTTCTCCGATCTCCTTATCCTCTCCTACTCCAGTTTCATTCAGGTTTGTTTGTTTAACTCATGCTTAAATGTGTAATATCATAAACTTCATTAGTCGGTGGCTAGGTGCAGTTAGGAATATAGCAATGTTTTTGTTTGTCCAGACAATCAAAAGGTAGTCTAAGTGTAAGTTTGTTCTGTTTCTGTTTTGTTTTTGGGATCCGTAGAATTTATACTCGTTAGGGGCAAGAAGAATCGGAGTGACTACGCTTCCGCCGCTCGGATGTTTACCGGCAGCCATAACTGTGGCAGGTCCGCACGAAGGTGGATGCTCGGAGAAGCTAAACAACGACGCAATCTCTTTCAACTACAAGCTAAACACGACGTCGCAGGATCTAAAGAGGAACCTCATTGGACTCAATCTAGTCGTCTTTGATATCTATCAGCCTCTTTATGATCTCGCCACCAGGCCATCTGAATTTGGTATTTGAAAATATTTCAAAGCCTCAAACAATGCTCTGGTAACTGGTTAACTGGTTTTAATTTTGTTACGTATGTTTATGTAAAATTTTCAGGATTTGCAGAGGCAAGAAGAGCTTGTTGTGGAACAGGATTACTAGAGACATCAATACTATGCAACCCTAAATCAGTAGGAACATGTAATAACGCAACCGAGTATGTCTTTTGGGACGGGTTTCATCCAACGGAAGCTGCTAACAAGATTCTCGCAGACAGTCTCTTGCTCTCTGGCATCTCTCTCATCTCCTGATCAGTCATCTCTCTCTACATTGTTCTCAAGATCATTGTTGGGTTTCATCTATTGACTTAAGATTGTAATTTTCAGTTATGTGTTGTTTGAATTTAAAAACTGAATCGAGATTTGTGTCGGAAGATAGACTTCTGGCTTTTAAAATTTGAGTTTTTTTTTTTGGCTGCACATCTCTTTCTTGTGTACAATTAACCAGACTGTGTCCTAAGTAATCTATGGATATGAGATAGACAGGCAAGTTCTAACCTGCATATATCTATCAAAAAATTCCACTGAGTCGGCGATTTCTTAGAGCTTGAAACCTAATGTGTAATGTTATGCCTTGAGTGGCTATGGGAAGATTCTCCACGAATTAAGATCCTTCAATCGATCTACAATTAAGAAAGAAGAAAATTCTGAGTCAGGTTAGTTTGAATATTCCAATTCGGAGTAGAAACAAAGTGGCTGAAGAAAAATTAGCTGACAGTTGAAACAAAGCTGGAACTGTAAGACCAATCGTAGTATGAGAGGTTTTGAATTTTCCGAACCGCATAGATCACTTGAAATAGTATCTAAATGCAAACAAGTCTTATAATCTTTATTCTAGAGATGGAGAAAAGCTTACTCGATATATCAATCCTTACACTAGATCTGGATAGTAGTAGTAGCTTACCTGATATATCTCTGACAGCAATCCAATAGCCTTTTACAACCAGCTTTGTTTATAGAGCAGCCCCCAGTTACGCTTTCCTCTTGTAGATTCTCCTTGCGAGTATTCCAAATGTTTAATAGCGACTCAATCTTCTGTATCTGTTGTCTCTTAAGGTCAACAATATCTGTACAGGAAATCATTGTAATCTAAAAAGAAGCAACAAAAGGTCAAAAACAAAGGAATATAAAAGTGGATACAGCAATGGTTCGCACACTAGACATCAACTGGGAAGGGAGTGTGTTTTGGAACTCCTCGTTTGAATCTTCTAGTTGGGTATCAAGAAGATCATCTTCAATAATATCCGAGTTGCTTAACAAAACCAATATGTAGTGACTCAGACAGAAAGTGTTTGTCTCAGACCCATTAACTCTGGCAAGTAACCTCGCAATAACATTCCAAATTGCTCTTCTTGCTTCTAAGTCATCCGAAGCAAATGGTAAAGTACTGAATAAACCTTCCAAGAAAGAAAAATCTGCATGCAGATTCTTAGAGTCAAGATAAAGACATGAAGCACTAGGATGCACAATCAACAACACTATGCAAACATTTTCTCTGTTCATCTTAATTTGTCAAATATGAGCCCTTAAAGTGTATTGCAAAAAATTTTCCTCAGACTGGTTTTTATCAGTATAAAAATCTCACACTTGTTAAAAGAAAATTGATTGTAACTTTTTCCTAACAACAAAATTCCAGAATTCAGAACTACGTAAAGTAAAGAAGAGTCATGTCCCACTCAAACCCAAATGGAAAATTCTGACCAGACGTTGCTCTGAAATTAAAGTAAATAGTTTACCTTCCGAAACTTCAGGAATAAAATCGACTGTTTCCGACAGCATATTTGCGATCAAAACTCCAGCAGTAACACATGATGTTGCCACCTACAGTGAAGTTAAGTTTATTAGATTATAACTTGAGATATATTCAATGGAAAGCTTCATGTAAACCTAAAACTACCTCAGCTTTGTCCTGAAGTTTCATAAGATCACAAACTAGCTGAAATAGTTCTTTGCTAGAGCAAATCTCTTTAGAATGGTTATCTGAAGCAGAGAGGGCTTCAATAGCTCGGAGAATAATTTCAAGGATGGGGTACCTGAAATCAAACACAAGGGTACATAGTAAAGCATAACACTTGCTTGTTTTTTCAAGAATAGTAAAGCATAGATTTCTAAGTTTTACCTTTCTGGAATTCTTTCTTTCGTCAACTTGCTCATTTCAAAGGAAAGAAGATTAATCAAGAGACTCGTCAAACCCAGAGTCATAAGTGGAGGGATCAATAGTTGCCCAATCTCTGGTTGACCTTCTATGATACCTAACAATAACCCTACACTCTGTGGGAAAATGGAAAAGATATAGCAATTAAAAAAAAAAAAAAGCCTTGATAAACCAAAACTTACAGAAAACGGTTGAGGGACATGAATAAGCATAAAGTAAAGAGTTAAGGAAATATTTCCCTCTGAAACTGAGGCCTATAGAATTCACCAGTTCGATCAAATCTTCTACCATCTATTCGTTCAGTACAAGAAGGACTTAGTTATATCAGAAGTTACCTTTTCAATAAGATGAGGATTCAAGGTATTTTCCGCAATCCACATAATACGGCGAAGTATATCCTCAGACTGCAAACACTCAGCCCAGAAAGTACGCCCAGTCCCAGAGAGACCTGTAGTGAGTATCCTATTGGAAACACATATCAGTATTAACCAACTGATCGAACATGATTCTACATTTTATGTCATAAACTGATTGTCTTACCTACAAACTTCACTTAGGCATTGGGTATCATCAAGAAACAATTGTCCCACAAGTAAATTGACGAGTCCGGCTGTAGACTCTATATGTTGCAATAGACCTTCATGGCAAGCAAGGTTCCCAATAATCCCGAGACAGATTTCCTTGGAACCCCCAAAATGGAAAAGAAATGTAAACATCAAATCAGTCCAGGAAGACAAAAAAAAAGAAGAAAATTATTAGACTTGGCCATTGATAATTCATAGATATACTGAATTTCTTACTCGAATGCGGGTAGATTCTGAAACCATTAGGTTTGCATGAAGCACTTCTAAAATTAGGTTATGTACCTGCAAAGCCAAAGTAAAAACAAGAAAATCATCACAACTTCCAGTCTCAATTCCAATACCTAAAGTTAAAACATGGAAACAAGCTGCTCTCTTGTCTAAATGGAATCCAATATCTTCTTTCACCAAGGTATAACTTATCTAAATCCATTACCATTAGCTCAGCATGAGTTCTACTGGCAGCAAGATCCCACAAAACACAACCATGATCTTCCCATGCTTCTTCCACTGATGACCCGCCTACTATTCCCGGATCCCGACATGAACTCACCGTCTCCTTCCCCTCGGAAGTGGATTCGTTATTGTAACCTCCAATGTCCATGCTCTGTGGATCACCATTGGAAGTGTCAATAACCCCATTTCCAGATCCAGCTACATCACCTTGAACCACATTATCAGCATTCGTATGATGGTTATGTCGCTCCTCACTGCCCGAATGAACTGGAAGAAGTTTCCTTATCAGTGAAATAACATAGCTAGGATCAACAGTAGTTGAAATGTCGAACAACTGCAGAACATAGAGAAATCACTGTCAACACTACGAAAAAATTAAAAATTTCAATCGAAAATATAGTCTTAAATTACCATAGATGAAATACCATTAGACACAAAGTACCATTGAAACTAGCTTCAAGCTCAATTTCTACAATTAAAACTACCTTAAGCTAAAAATTAAAAGTGATTGAAGCTCTTACCTCATCAGAAGGAGGTGGAGGGTGATGTGATGGGAAATCGCTTTCTCTTCTTTCGTAAGAATCATCTTCTTCTCGAACTATGCTTCGCTGCTTAGCTTCATCGTCCTCCATGGTATTTTTTTTCCTTCTCCTTTGCCCTTATTTCGTCTCTTCTTCTCTCGCCAGAAAATTCGAAACGCCTCTTTAACTATTTTACATAATGGTCCTTTTACTAAATCATGTATCGGTTTGTGACCAGCGTATTATTCTATTTTCTCTAAAAGTACCTTAGCTTTTTAAATACAACATATACACCCCTCTTTTAGATGAACCACGCAAGCGCTGCCAACTGTTTAGTAAATTATGGTGACAAGTGGCAACAAAAAGAGTATTCACACACAGGTGAGTGAGAGAACTCAAACTAATCCTCCGCCACAAAATTAACGGTCAACTACCATAAATTGTTTATTCATTAATCCGGAAAAAAAAATATTTTAGTAAAAATACAGGAAAATAAAATATATAGTTGTAACAAAATGAATTTACTTCATGTAATAATTCTCATATTTAAACAAAAAATCCTTAAGGATAAATTTGTGATAAACAGTAGCATCCATTGTGTTAAAAAAAAAAACAAAAAAAAAACAGTAGCATCCATTTTTTATTACACGAATCAAAAAAAAAAAAGCTTAGAGAGAGAATTTTGTTTTGTCGAAAATATAAATATATTTAAATTATTAGATTCCAATATTAAAAAAAGCGATTGTGATTTCTAGTATATCCATTTAATTTGTCATCCCAAAAAAAAATCATTAATAAAAAAAAAAAAACTGTAAATGGTTCAGAAATATTTGAGAGCGAAAAAAGCAAATTTCGATATATATCTTTGTAAATAATTTTCAAAATCTACTAGTACATAATACAAAATGAATATTGTTTTTACATTTTTGTAAAATTATCCTTAAGCTAAAATCTCCATAACCAAAGCTTCTTCCTTCCGCCACCACCAACAATGGCGTTAACTCCAATTCCCTCTACATTCGCTTCTCTCTTCAATTCCTCCGATCACTCTCCATCTCCATCTCCGTCTCTCCATTATCTTCTTCCTGGATCCTCTCCTTCCTTTTCTCTCAACTTATCGGCGCTGAGTAGAGCTCCGATCTACTTTGAAGCGCTCAGGGTTTTATCGAGATCGAAATGTTTAGCGAAGTCTTCGACAACCGCCGAGGATTTCGTCGGCGATTATGAATCCCTAAACGTAAGCGACGACGATAGTGGTAACAGTGATGGAGATAACGGAGGAAGTGACGATTCAAAGAAGATCGATTCTTCTTCGTCATCAAGTGATTCTACGTCTCTGGGAATTCGTGAACCGGTTTATGAGGTTTCTCTTTTAAGAAGAAAAAAATTGAAATTTGCATGTTCATCATATAGGATTCTGATTGAATTGATTATTTATATGCATCTTTGTTTCTCATCCAAAAAAATTAAAACTTTTATATTATCTGTGGAACCATAAAATTAAGGTTGTTGAAGTGAAGGCGACTGGAGCTATATCTACAAGGAAGATTAATAGACGACAGCTGCTCAAGTCCAGTGGTTAGTGAAACAATAATTAATCTTCTCTGACTAAATATACATTTTGATCTTGATATTGGTAGTTCTCAATGAAAGTTTACTCTTTTCACATCAGGTCTGCGTCCCAGAGATATACGAAGCGTTGATCCTTCATTGTTTATGACAAACTCAGTGCCATCTCTATTGGTATATTAGCTTTAGCTATCATTTCACTTTAGTTTTTTGAAAATGGTTTTTCTACTCTTAACAAAATTGAACCTCAGAACCATCTCTACTGCATAGGACAGTGATGAAACCTTTTCTTACCTGTTATTTAGGTTCGTGAACATGCGATTCTGATAAATTTGGGATCTCTGCGAGCAATAGCAATGCGAGATCGTGTCCTTATTTTTGATTATAACCGGTAATCTTGTTTTCTGTATATCTCTCTTTCTTCATATTGTTCACTCTATTTATTGCTGATGTAAGTCCAAAATACTTTCAGGAGAGGAGGAAGGGCTTTTGTAGATACATTAATGCCTCGGCTTAACCCAAGAAGTATGAATGGAGGACCCTCTATGCCATTTGAGCTCGAGGTTGGTTTGTCTCATTATTAACTTTTTCGGATGATGATTCATTTATGTTAGTTTTTTCGTGGAACAGAAGAAATGTATGTTGTGTAAACAAATCAAGGATTGTGAAAACCCTCTCTTCAGCCCTGCATATTTTGAGTTCGAAATCATTTCAACCTTTTTGGTGTTAACTTCTCCATTACTCTGCTTTTTTTAAAGGCTGTTGAATCGGCGCTAATCTCAAGGATACAACGATTAGAGCAAAGGCTTATGGACATAGAACCCCGTGTGAGTATGAAAGCTAGTGAGTATATTTAATTTAGATCTTCTTCACTTTGACCGCTGGAGTAGGAGTTCCTCCATGACTCAGTTGCTTCTTGTATCCCAAAAGTCAAAAGGAACTGAGTCATGCTGTAGAGGATGAGACTGCCATATGAGTCGCATCATGCATTTTCCTATTAATATAAGTTTAGTTTCTGGTATAAATATCACATTGAACTGAGCATGAAACCCTTTATACGTTCTGACATGAAACCCTGTAGTTTTGTCCAAATTGGCTTATGGCTTTTTGAGGTTATTTGTTAAGAAAAATCCCCAAACCTTTATTCCTCAACCGCAGATCATACAACCATAGAGAGGAAGACTAGAACATCATTTCTAGCTCACCACTCATGATTCATGAATCCCACATCCGAGATCTTTTACAATAATCTGCATAATCCTCTCTAAAAAATGAGAGTTTGTATTTACACTAAAACAATTTCTAAAGAAACTTTGTTATAGATTTAGTTTCAAAATCTTCTTCTTTTTTCATAAATCTTCTCATGTGCCTCCTCTGTCTCATGTGTCTTCTGACGTCTCACATACACACAGTGGAGCTTATCATAATTTTTTTTTTCTCTTAACTTTTCTATTTGTGCCATTTGGTTCAGGTCCAAGCTCTTCTTGAGGTTTTGCCCAACCGCTTAACTGCTGATATATTGGAGGAACTTCGTATAAGTAAACAAAGACTGGTAAACTTCATTTAGTTGTTTATCTATGTATATTCTTGATTCAGTAGTTCACTTCAGAGAACTCAGTTTTCCTCTCTTTGTACTGTATTTTTCTTTATACAATTTTTAAAGGTTGAATTAGGCTCTAGAGCTGGAGCTCTTAGACAAATGCTCCTGGATCTTTTAGAGGATCCCCATGAAATACGCCGCATGTGCATCATGGGAAGAAACTGCACACTCAGAAGAGGAGACGATGATTTGGAGTGTACGTTACCCTCAGAGAAGCTGATTGCTGAAGGTAAGACTGCAAACATTTCCTCCAGTGATAATCACCATAAACAAATTCATGTAACGAGATTCATTTTCATTTTTCTGGTTCTGTGCAGAGGAAGAGGAGGAAATCGAAATGCTCTTGGAGAACTATCTGCAAAGGTCTCGTTATGTAACGAGACTTTTACTTTTAAAGCACTCTGATCTGTGACATTGTTATGTAGTGAAACTATGTGGCTTCGTATGTGCAGATGTGAATCATGCCATGGACAAGCAGAAAGACTTCTGGATTCTGCAAAGGAAATGGAAGACTCAATTGCTGTCAATCTAAGGTTCGGAAGATAACACAACATTCTCTCTCTATAATTGATTAGGCACTCAGCACTCTTATAGTGATACATTGTTGGTTTTCCAGTTCTCGAAGGCTTGAGGTCAGCAGATTTGAGCTGCTTCTTCAGGTCGGTACATTTTGTGTTGCAGTTGGTGCTCTCATCGCAGGTACATTTCGCAAACTGTTTATGATTTGCATTCTTTTTCTCTCAAACCTTTGAACTGTAGTAGATGCTTGCTTCTATTTCTGCACTTCAACTACTGAGATACTGAATGTCTGAATTCAACATTCCATATGTGCTATTTGAATTTAATTACAAATAAGCATTGCCCTATGAACATGATCTCAACGCCAAGAACTCCTATTTCCATGTTCATTGTTAGGGATTATACCTGTTGTTTTGGGTGCGTGCAGGTATATTCGGCATGAACTTGAGGTCCTATCTTGAAGAACAAGCTGTAAGCCCTCATTAAGTAGACACATTTACAACTATTTTCCATCACTTTACCATTAACATCTCAATATTTTGCAGTCTGCATTCTGGTTAACAACAGGTGGAATCATCATAGGAGCTGCAGTCGCCTTCTTCCTCATGTATTCCTATCTCAGTAGACGCAAAATCTTTTGAACCTTCAATCCTATAAGACGAGTTAAGGTAAAACCTGTCTTTTCTTTTTCCCAGTTTTGTTTTTCTTAAAATGTGACAAAAGAGAGCTCAAAGATTCAAAATAAACGTATAATTACAGGTGAAAACCTGTGAAGAAAGAGAATTTCATCACACATTTACATTGTGGCATTAGGACCCTACTCGACTTAGAGAGTGGTGATTGCATAAGATGTCTGATATATATTTATAGTGTGGTCTCCATTGAACCCCCGAGACTTATGTGCACTCCTCATTGTTTATGCTCTGTACTATTTGTCAATGTTAGATTAATGTATCATCTAATAAGCTGGTGCGAAAGCAAATGAAATTTCAAATCTTTTGTTTTTCAAGAGGGAAGGGGTAAAAAACAATATAGTATGTATCTAAAACTTCGAGACTCAGAGGCGAATACAAAACTTTTTTCAAAGATTATTACTTTTGCTCTAAGTGCGAAGATCACGAGCAGATTGACGACCTTCTCTTGCAGAGGTCTTTGGTTCTGAGCCATCAATGGAGATATTACCAACACCAACCTCAATCACTTCCATCTCACTCTTTTCCTTCGTTTTATCCTCATCTGCTGATACTTCTTCTTCTTTGGATGTCTGTGGACTTGGTGACGGTTTCAGCGATCGAGGGACCGGATTCATCCATGGGTGCGTTAGGCACTGAGCAGCCGTCGGTCTTTTCTCAGGTACATATTCAAGAATGGGAGTGATGAAATCTTGCATAGCAATTGCGTCTTCCTCGCTAAACTCATACTTATCCATTAAGACCTTGCTAAGTGGCCAAAACCGTAACCGCCTGATGTGCCTAAGTTCACCTTGCCGGTTGAAGAAATCCCGTGAATGACGTCCGCCTAATGCAATCTACATAAAAACAATCCATGAAAAGAGTGAATTCTTAACTCGAAGTGATACTGATAAATAAGAGAACACCATGTTTCTCAGAATTACCTTTCGTGGCATCACCCCAAGAAGCTCCATCATCAATGCCAAGTGATCCTGAAATCAAAGTCCACTAAGTTTAAGCTCTATTGAGTTCCCCACAAAACAATATGATTGTGGTTTTCACATAACATGAGAAAGCAAGTAAAAGATATATACCTCATCTCGCTCAAAGTTTTCACCACTGCGAGGATCGAATAGAACATCTCCGGTGGCAAGCTCAAAACAAATGCAAGCAAATGACCACATATCTGCCGAGGTTGAGTATTTTGAACCAAGAACAACCTCAGGGCATCGGTACTGTCTTGTTTGAATATCACTTGTAAACTGTTTATAAGTCCAACAAGCATTCCCAAAATCCACCAACTTGCATTTCCGATCAACATCCGCAAGTAACTTTTGTCTCGTGGATCGACTTCCTCTCCTATGGCCCTGACTCTTTTGACTAACATTCTCTGCATCTTTTACTCTCTCCGAACTCTCTTGCGACCCCTCCACAGTTGAATTCCCGTTTGATCTTGCCTCAGAGTTAGAATCTCTCTCATTTTCCTCTGAACCATCATCTCCACCACATCCTTGACCTTCCACTTTCTTAGCTTTCTTACGAATCTTCTTTTTCTGATTCTTAGTCATATCCGCAGCATATGTGTAACTCTTGGGTTTTTCTTTCTCGGGAACAGTCTTGTCCTTGGCGGTTGGAAGTACAAGAGGAGTACTTGCTTTCCTAGCATCTGCCTCAGGGTTAATGGTGGAACAAAGCAGAATGTTCTCCGGCTTGATATCAGTATGAATAATAGAGAGTTCGCGGTGAAGATAATCCAAACCAACTAAAATATGGAAACATAGCTCTTTAACCATGTTAAGAGGAACCCCTCGGTAGTCACTGTACTTGATAACAGACAAGAGGTTATCTCCCAAATACTCAAAGACCATACAAACATGGTTCCCATTAGGACCTGCGTGCTTGAAATGATCAAGAAGCTTCACAACACACTTCTTATCTTCAGTATCACCTTCCGCAATCTGTTTCAATATCTTTATCTCGTCCATGGCTGCCTCAGTATAGTGCTGAGCACTCTTCTGGATTTTCAAAGCAACATATCTCTACAAGCAATGCAAGATACAAATCAACATCCATAAGTATCAGACAAAACCACCAAAAGCATGAAACTTACAAAACTTTCAAACTACAATATAACTTCCCATTCACATTCAGTACCAACAATGCAATTCATATACTGAACCCTAGAGAAATTGATTACCTAAGAAGCGAACCGTGGAAGTGAGAGTGACTTACAGAGTTGAGAGTGTCCCAAGAAAGCCAGACAGTAGAGAAATGACCCCAACCGAGCTTACTCTGAATGACATAAGATCCATTCTTAAAAGTATCACCGACTCGAACCGCATGGTAGCCTCCTCTCCTGTAATCCTCTGTTCCTTCGTCCTCTGACGAGTAGTCACTAGCGTCACTTAGATGTCCACCGTTCTTCTCATCTGCCATCGCCGGAGTTGTTGAGAAGCTCCCCAATTGAGAATCTCAATCAATTTGTGGAGTAGAGATCTGGGAAATTCAAATTCAGGAGATAAAACCCCCTAAAACCCTAGATTTTTGGAGAGCTTTTAGAGGATGACTTTAAAAAAATATATAGGAAAAAGAGAGATTTTTTTCCCAGTTTGAGATACAATTAATGCAGATAAAAACCACGGAACCGAACCTTCAGTGATTATTATGAAACAAGAGTGTTTTTGTCAGAATTGAAAGATTAGGGCTTTCGTTGACTCTGTCTGAGACAGAGTGTCGTACGGAGTACCAAATTTAACAAAGATAATTTCACAGAAGATAATCTTTAATTAAAATGTTATAAATTAGTTTCCATAACATAATTATATCAGGAGATTCTACTAATGTTTCGAAACTTTCCATCAATCCAATTACCTCTCATCATTAGATATCATATACAATGGTGCTCAAATGATACCAGTATGTGACAACGTTTCATTATTTGCTTTGCTTTTTCGCTTTTTTGTTTTTTTTTTTGCTTTCTGCTTTGATGCTCTGGATTACTATGATTTCGTTTATATCTTTGCACAATCTCCGTTTGATATAGTGGAAAAATTAAACTTTAATCAGAAGAACGATACACAGACAGTTACACACACAGACACTACTATGTATAAAAGGAATTATGTACATCCAAAACTATAACAATGAAATGGGAAAAAAAAAAACAATAAAGAAGTTCACTTTTCTTCTGCTGGGATTCGCCGGTCGGGAGAAACTTACTCTCCGGTGACCACAAATTACACTCCCGCGACCATATCAAAAGGGTATAGAAAACTACAATTTAGGCTGCATAAGCTGTGTGCTATAAGAACATGTTGATAACCATTAGTAACAGCATTAGAGTCTTTCCAACAATGTCCATTGACGGCTTCTGTGGCGCAGCATTGTCACTAAACTGTCCTGCATTCACATATTCGCTTCTTCCACTGCTGCTAGTCGCTGATACATTTACCGACATTGAACCTGAAGAAAAGATAGAAGTTGAGGGAGTTTTTGAGGTGATTTCATTGCTTTTGGATGTCATTTGGGTTAAAGAGATGAGAATTACAGTCGTAGTTTGCCCATCCTATTCTCTGACCGACCAGATCATAAACAAAGATTTTGTCTTTAAGAACCAAATCTGCAGGACAAAGATGAAGAAACCGTTGTATTGTGTTACCAAACGTAAAATTCAAATAAAAAGGTCAAGCTTTTGAATCGGGTTACCTCCAAGGATCGTTATACCCTGATTCTGAATCCTTTGAAAACCGATGCACCAGACTGCAGTACCTCCCTAGAAAGTAGAGGGGAGAGTCAAATGTTATACCAAGAACCAAGAAAAAACCTCACTGTTTCAGATCAAGTTGGGTTCAGATTTTAAAACCAGCTACCTATGAAAAGGTTTGGAGTTAAAGACACTTACAACGTTGTTCTGCTGTATGAGGTAATCCTGAGGATTTAAGAACATTGATGCTCCACCAGCAAAGTTTAAGCTAACTGGAGGAAATATGTCTCCTACACTGATAATCACAGTACCATAAAAATAGTTCAGCTGTTTACCTACATGGTTTGGGATAAGAAAATTTGGTAAGAAGATTAACCTCGTGGCTATAACGTAACATTGGTTCCCTTTCGAAACAACAGGTCTGACAGACTGTGAAACAGCATTCGTAATCTGAAAAATACAATAAGACGGATCACATTTAAGATAAAGCAGGGTTTTAAGTCAATGGAGTACATTTATAGTAATTAAAATTCCCAGATGGTTCAGTGTTTTTAAAAGTATATAGCAATCAGATGTTCTATGACTTACCGCTTCAACGAAAGGAACATAAGCCGCTTCAGAAAGGTATGCCAGTGTTGTACCAGTATCGATGATTGTTCCCTGACCGCTTGATGTGGAGAAGACAGATGGATTGATAGGTAAAGCTTGGCCATTCACTGAGATGCTCAGCAGATTCACATTGTAATGAGGCCTGAAAATTTCACACGCCATAAAGTCATGCTGACCAATCACTCTCAAATGAACAGTTGACAACTAGATTGAAATGAAACAGTTTTGAGGGACAAGTGGAACTAACTGTGAAGGAACAAGTGGGGTAAAGACCATGTTTGGCTCCACAATTTCTCCAAGAACCAATATACCTCCGCCTCCATTCTCTCCTTTCAAGCAGTGAGAGAACACTCTGGGAGCTAATCCCTGAGAAGCAAGCTGAGAAATCACAGACATTCCTTGCTGCCCAAAGCCAAAGATTCCATCAACCGCTCTATCCGACTTCACTAAATCTCCCGTCTGAGAGGTGCTACATCTGGTTCCAGAAAAACAATCCGAAATAGCAACCAACAAAGTCAAGAGTAGTGGCCCATATTGATGCCTATGAAACAAAAGATTCTCTGAAATAAACTCACCCAAACACAACCTGAGCCGTTGAGTTTGGGACCAGCGAGCTTCCAACAATCATGTCAAACTGCAAGACATCAGAGACGTAGAACCCCGAGGTGCCACTTCCATCCCCATACTGAAAAGTGTAAGCACAAAGGTTGTTCTGAACAGAACAGCCAGAATCAGATGACTGAATACCCCAACTGCATCTTTGATCAGAACATGAAACTGGTGTTGCTGTTACAGAGTTCCCAGGATCAAAGAAACTCAACTGAATCTGCAAAGGAAAGGAACAGCTAAGAATCTCAAATCACAGAATTCAAAATAGACCAATATAATGAAAGATTTTTCAGGAGCTATACTTGGAGTCCACTGGTTTGAGGGCAGCCATTGCAAGAAGCACAGCTAACCCACAAAACATCACTGCCTGTATCAACCTGTACATAAAAATCTTTTGGAGGAGATCCTAACCGCAGCTTCGTGTAGTATAATCTGTCCAAAGTCAAACACCAAAACTGAGCAGAACACAACAAAACCAAAGAAACAACTTTTTCGATCGAGACATAAGAAAAGAAACAAAATTTGGCGGAAAATGACTGAGGTTTACTCAGATATTGTATCAAACACCTTACAGGCATTGCCAACACAATCGATCCATCCCTAAAAATGAAGAGAAGAGAGAAAGATGAAAACTTTGAATTACCCAACAACGAAAGGATCAAAAGTTCCATCGACGGGAAAATCAATGACTCCACCTAATGACTGCAACAACCTGCCGTGTCTAGCTTTATCACGAGCCATAAGCTGACTCAGTTCCATCTCATGATTCGCCGGAATCACTCTTTCCAGTTTCAACGCCGCCGGAAAACCATAAGACAAAACCGCCGGCGGTAATAAACAACAAATCAAAATAGATAACGTAACCGGAACAGCCGCCATAGCTTCCCAAGTTGGGTCTGCTTTTGTGAAGTCGTTAACAAGATCTCTTTTTTAATATCTTCTCATCAGAAATAAAGAAATAAAGATCATTCCTTTTCTTCTGGGCACGACGAGGAATGATGAATCGTTGAAGACATAAGGAATGGAGAATTGAGCCGTCAAATTGTGAAATACGGATCCGTAGTCTCGAGAATCATGAAAAAATAAATGAACAGAAAGATTTGATTTTTGTGTGTACTACTGTGTCGTCGTCGTTGCTTGTCTCTGTCTTTTTGGGATATAGATAGAGAGAGAAGTTAAAAGAGTAGTAGGATTAACAGAAAAATGTACTAGTGCAGATTACGCCAATCTCACATGTGTTTTAATTCCATTGATTCTAATTTTTATATTAATCGATTAATTATATTATTATTATTGTTATAATTAGTATCCAAATAACTATATAGAATTGGTCTTAAAAATGCATATATTATGAGAAGTCAATGATGCTAATAAAAACATATATAGATGCTGTTTATCATATGACAAATATTATCTTAATCAATAATTATTTTTCCATATGCAAGTTTTGTTTCATTTCTGTATGTGTACTTATCAACAAATTAATATACTTTCAAAACAAATACATAAAAAGCTATATAATTTTCATCGGAATTTAAGAGAGAACATTTTTTGAGAATTTAAAGAGGGAATGGTAAAAGTTAGTTACTTAACAAACAAGTAAGAAGGAAAAAGAGTATACTAGTTGTGAAAGTGAAATAAGGATTAGGAGTTCATACAAAAAAAAAGGAAATAGAGACCAGTCAATTATGGAAGGTTCTCTATTGGCATATCGTCTTCTTTAGCTTTCTTCTTTATTTTAAATTTGTAGTTTCTCTCTGGGTTACCTAAACCACATAATGCGTACTTTTGACGCACAGCCTCTTGCTTTACTTGTATGCATACATCACTGGAAAAACAAAAAAAAAAGCAAGTGTATTTATATATATAGTTATATTTATATACACAATTATGTATTTATTTATACATATATACGTGTTTGTATATGATGAACCCAAGAATCAATTGGAATCAATTGGAAAAAAAATAAAAATAGAAAAGCAAGTCTTATGACATGTAACGTTCAACATAGAATATTTCCAACTTAAGATGATGAAATATTTAGGTGTAATTAAACTCGATCGAGGACTTGATTAGTTTACGGGTCAAATGTGTTCTAATTCCTATACGGATAAAAGTCACTCGTTCTTTTGCTTAATCATTCCTATGTTATATCTAACCTTAAATATTTCATGTAAACAACACGTAGTAGTTTTACATTTGATCCGTTTTGATTGACTATTTTAAAAGTTTTTTTTTTTTTCATGACAACAAGTATGTTACGAACAAAATCTTCAACGTATTATATAGTGTAGTAGTTTGGATCAGTGAGCTTTCAAATTGTAGCAATTCATTCAAAAAGAAATGGTTATATATATAACATTGTTTTGAATGATGTACAAAAGCAATGCCTTTATTTTTTCCTTTGAGGCTAAGTTATGAAGGTGTGGTGTCACATTCCATCTGAATGTCTTTTATATTGTTTTCGATCGAGGTCACAAATTTATAAAGGACTAACCATAATTTTATTATGTCTTTACTTTACTTTTGGCTTTGTCATCAACATTTGTCCCATTTTCAAAATAATGTTTTCATCTTGTCATGTCTTGTACTCTTGTTTATATGTAACATCCTTTTTTATATTTCGACACAACATGATTAGATATCAACTTACTTGATAGTTGATACAAATAGAAACATAATATATCTTATCTTAGTCACCATATTAATCAAATTGTTATATATATTTGTGGTCGCTTTTCGTTGGACCAAATGAGGAAAAAAAATTGAGGAAGTAGTAAACTTAAACTCTTTATAGTATCCAATCACATTACTGTGTTAAAGCATTAATTAGAAGGAGAGTACAGTATTTTCTATATTGTAACTTTGATATCGTTTAGAAATACTATTTGCTAACGTTCAATATCATGTAACTGTGACAACAACGATCATATATATATATACGTTTTCATAATTTTGAATCTAAAAATTACTGATGTACTGTAATTTTAGGTAATACAATCACTGATGTTGTACAAATCGCGTAATTACGTAATAAAAATAGTACTTAAAGTCTTAAACCGATCCAACAACAATTTTGAATTCCTGCTGTGTACAGCTATACCAGTTTCACTCGTTCAATACATTCAATACAATTGGATCTGCTTAGGTTATGTTCATGTTTTATATACTCTTCAACTAGTATGACTTACCTTGATTAGTACTATAAGTTTTAAAAGCACACACATGTATGCTGTATGGTAATATTGAGTTGTAAAATTTCAGAACATACCAGTAATGTAAATCTAAATAACTTTTAGTTTTATGAAACCATTTTAAGAATGGTAACATTTTAAACCGACTAAGAGATATTTGGCTTTTAAATACCCTAACATGCATTGACGTTGAAGAACTTCATTGGGGAAAACATTTCATATTTTTCTGTAGTCTCAAACTCTCTGTAGCTTACAATGTCTTCTACCACCGCGTTCCGAAAAGTTACTGCAAGACTCTAGCTCAATCCCAGTAACTATTGCAATACTACGAATGCAAGTAAATTATTGATATATATACTATAACCAAAGTTTAATTTGATATGTTAAGATCTCTTAGATCCTTCTGATACGTTGAAATCCAAGAATCAAGTATTTTAATTTCTTTTTCTCTTTGCATTACGAGCCACTCCGGATCATCTTTGCTCTTCAAGCCAATGTCTTGACAATGTGAACCTGCTCGTATATTATTACATTTAAATACATAAATTAAAATAATCAAATCAAATTACATCAAGTAGAGATATATTCATTTAAAATCAATAATGAAAAATGTTATAATTAAGTTACCATTTTTTGTTGTGATGGCGACTATAGTGTCTGAAATATCCTCCAAAATTCTGGAAAATATATGAAATAGATCTCATAAAAACTTGTATACTTTGATTTATTAGTAACCTATAGAAACAATTATGAACAAATTATTATGTTTATTTTGTTTACCCGCCGACGCTGTATGGATCTGACAAACCGTTAGAGAAGATTATGTTGCTCCCAAATTTTTGGAGGATTAACTTGACATCCTGCAATATGTAATTATTTTCATTAAACTATTAACGAAGTAAAAATCAAAATTTTGATTTTTCGAAGAATATTTTTTGATTAACACGACCAAAACATAAGAAAAATATAAGAAAAAAAATACTAAAATAGAAAAATTTACATCATAGACAATAAAATACAAGAAACTCCAAAAAATCCAAATTACAAGAATTTTCTGAACGATGGTTTAGTGGCTTGTGTCACACATATAGACTTAACTATTTCTAATGAGTTTCAAACCAGCTCATTTGCTTAATCATATAAATATACCTGAATGCCGAAGTACGTTGTGATCCAATGTTGTCTAGGTGGAACACCGTAATACGATTCACATCCACTAATGTAACTGGTCATATTAAACGGTGTCGTCGGGAACATGGTATCTTGTTTGTCATATCCCACCGGCATAACAATTTCACTGCAACTCTTTATAAAAACCATTCATGTAAAAGTAAAATCATTAGATTATTTTCATCTCTCTAAATCTAAAATTCAGAAAAATAACCAAAATGTGTTTGTAAGTATAAATGTAAAAATTTATTATATCGTGTTTTTAATATGCATTTTGATGCATATATATATATATATACCTGCCATCTCCATGCGATATTATTGTTGGTTGGTTGCGCAAACATATTGGTATCATAGCAAGTTCGGTTGCCTATTAAAGCGACAACACCGGCAAAAATCTGGTCGAGTAAATCATGCTTACTGTTCGGTGGGTACGTGTTGGTGTTGATTGCATTGCACACTTTGGTCACCCAATAACTCGGACCTCGGTTGTATTGAACGGATTCGGCGTATACCGAGTCCAAGAAGTCTTTGATTTTGAAGCTTCCGTTCAATGGACTGATAAAATATTTGTATGGGAAAAAAATTAAGCATAAAACGTAGATTATTAAGCGGGAGTAAAATAATTAAAATTAATATAATTTTCTCTTACGCGCAAGTTTTGAATTTTTTGCTGAGAATCAAAAGACCATTGGGCTTGGCAGCAACTCTATCGATTTCTTTCCAAGATTTTCGGATTGTGTTATAACATCTTTCACTCGTTTCCTAACAGGGTATATGTTTAGAACAATAAAACGAAAGACCTAATTATTATTAGGTACAATAATGTTAATTAGAAATACTTAATAACCACATGTAGCGATATCAAACATTAGTGAAGAACGAAATTAATAGTTGAAATGGATTAGTTATGAAAAAAAAAAGGTCCTACATGTGGATATGATTTAATTATTGGATCGTGTATAGAGTTACCTTGAAAACTTTGGTTACAATATAATAATAACCAAACTTAGGAAGAGTATCTTCAAAGTAGAGAAGAGGAGCTGACGATGCTAATGCTCCAAGTGCTATGTGTGGATATTTTAGCCTGAACCATGCCGCTAACACTTTTTGTGTACCATGAACAAAAATTAAAATGATTACTTAAAATATCATGTAATGCTATATCAAAAACTATCATTGAGAGTAACGGAGATCATAAGGTAAACAATATACTTCTCTCCATACAAGATTTTCATATAGTAATCCATATAGAACATGTTTAAGAGAGTATAACTATTATATAGTATTTACTAGACTTACTTCCACCATAAGATCCTCCTATGACAATGATAGGGCTGTGTTTAGTAGAGTACTTCTCCTTAACGTGCAAGAGAATCGCGGCGTAGTCTGCTAGGGCTTGTGCTGCGTTCAAATACCCCAACGTACTTGCGTTCTTTAATGTTTCTTCTGCTGATCCAAATGGCATAGTCTTACCATAATACCTATGCTGCATCATAGATAATATTGTATGCATTTTAATATATAAACAAACACTAAATACGATTAATCATGAATATATATATATATATATATATATATGTATAAGTATAAACACACACCTCTATGTAGACGAGGAGCGCTTTGAGACGGGGACCGTTGTCACGAAGAAAGCCAATGCCAGACAAATCAGAGTCTAACGACGTTTCCTCTCCAAGAAACGCTAAGATTGGCGCGTTGGCCTTAGCACCACCCCAGTGCGTGGAATTGATCGCGTATCTTTGTTGAAAAGTCATGTAGCTTTCTGGTCTGAATGTGAAGTGATCGAGGGTCTGATTAAAGTAGAACATCTGAAGACCAGATTCATCTACTTTTTGTGTTGATCCATCAGGTGTATTCTTGATTAACGTTTTTGGTGAAATCGCTAGTCGAGCAAATTTGGAATGTGCGAGAGAGATGAAATAAGATGAAAATATCAATAGAATGAGAACTGTAAATGGAAGAGACATTTTGAGTTAGTGTGTATCGTTTTAACTTAGTAAGTTGGATAATTTATACTCATGCACCAAAACCTTTATATAGATCCCCAAAAGTTATAATGCGCTTTGCGCACTATATTATGTTTCTTCTGCTTTCTGACGTTATATTCATGTATCACGAAGTAAACTAAAATAAATCGATATGCTTTGGTCACTCGTCATGACATTAAGAACGATTATCAAAATTTATCTACGAATTGATAGAGATCTTAATCGAAGAAACGTAGATGCTTTGGTTACTCGACATGACTACAACGTGTTTACTGCTATTTTGACGTGATATGAGGATTCTAAGTAAACCGATGCCTACTCTAATCTTAAGTATTTAGATGCGGGAACCATTAAGGTGGACCAAAATTGGACTTAACCGACACATCTGATTACATATCAATTGTGTGGAATGTGGATTGGTAAAACTTGGTTCCATCACATCCGACTTTCTCCAAGTCTCCCACTTCCAACAAAACCTCCACATTCGTCTGTCCAATCACAAGAGTTGTAAAGTGAAATTTTCTGATATTTAAAATATTTAGTTATCAAACATGTGCAGTTGTCACATCATGGTCTTCAGTGGAGATCTGGTCTTTAGAAATTTGTTACGTAAGTTGACTTGATCCGTACGCAATCTCTCAATTTTTTCTAACCGGCCATTGCGAAATATCTACATTGACCGATTAAGCCATATTTTGAATTTTTATTCAGTCTCTAATTAACAAATAATGCTTAATTACTTTACGTTAATATACGTACAATTATTTTAAAATTTTCACACGATTTAATGGTTCAAGTTAAGAGTTATACTACTTGTGAATTTCACCATTCATGATATTTGTTAAACTTATTAAATCGGTGAATAAAGAAAGCATATAAAAGATAATTCATAATTATGAGGTCGATTGGTAACGACTGTTACTTGTGGCTCTAGATACTTTAACTTTAAAATTTTGGCTGCAGAGAATTTGGCTGTATATGCTTTGGTTGTAGAAACTTTTACTGTTAAAATCTGATTGGTAATGAACAAATTTTTAAGTTATACATGTTATTTTTATTATTATTATTTTATATTTATAATAAATACAAATTATATTATAAATGAATTTATAAAATAAAAGTACTATTGAAATGGATCTTAAAAGAACAAGAAAAAAATGAGAGTAATTAATTTATAAAAATAAAATATATAAAATATATTTATAAACTTGTGAAAATGTTTTAAATATAATAGGTATATGAAAAATAAATTTTTTTAATTGATAAAATTTAAAGTCAGATTTTTTACGCTTTGAGAAAAATAAGAAAACAAAGAAGGAAAAAAAAAGAAGTGACTTTTAATGTTTATAAAAAAAATAAAAGCAAAAAATGTTGATTGACAAATTAATTACTTTTAAGACTTTAAAACCATTTTAAAGCCTTAAAAGTCATCACCAGCCATTTATGTGTACAAATTTCTTTCTAAAATTCATCATAAAATGAATTTCTTTCTAACATTCATCAGTTAACTCATATATAAGCTATATATAATTCTTCCATCAAACTTTGGAACAAATTTTCAGGTAAATCGAATGCAGCGGTAAAAAATGATTAGAATGGTACAAGGTTGTAGTATCAAGTAAGCAAAAAGAACACACAAAAAAAAAAAAAAAAGATACATTTCATATTAATATTTTCATGTTGGTAAAGGTTGCGCGTGCAAAGAGATGGGCGAATATGTTCATTGCACATTTGGTTATTGGCACCACAAATATACATGCTTGCTTCATGAAACTGCTATCATTTATTTATTTCTTTTATTTGTAGTTTTTATGTTATCATACAATATATGGTGCCTTTGGCCCATAATCTCACTTTCAGTTTTATTTTGTTTTGTTTTTGTTAATGGAATCTTCAACTTATAGTTTAAAAGATCATATAGGCCAACTATTAGTCTATCAATCAAATGTTCAAATTGGCAGAACTATATCAAAAAAATGTATTTGAATAGTAAAGAAATTGTAAACCTTGGAAAACTAATTTTCATTAATGCCAAAGTAACAATTTTAAGAATTTAAATTTAAAAAATAAAATAAAAATATCACTTCTAGCTCAACAAACAAATTCACCACTTTTATTTATTTTCTGGTAAGATATTGCTTTTGAAAATCTACAATGTTATATACGTACGCCATTGTCTTTGTAAATTGCTTGCTCTAGTGGAGTCCCTTTTCTCCTCTAAGAGATTTTGTGTGGTAGTTCAGTTTTGCCCAAACGAATATATATTTGCCTGACTAAAACACATGGCCTTATTATATTTGCTTGCAAGTATTGTAACGATTCCATGTCTTCAAAATCAAATGCATAGGCCACGACGAAGTGGAGTATAGTTGTGAAAGTTAAATAATGGTTACTCAAAAAGCATAGTTTTAAAATGACCCTAAATATTATTTTTTTGGTTTAATGTTAAATTCTAAATCATATATATATGATAAATCTATACAGAAATCATTATTATCATTGTGTAGTTTCAGACCATGACATTTTAGGCTGACTTTATGATTTATAGATTAAAATGAATAAATATCATAATGCGCATATGCACTCATATAACGTTGCTAAAAAGTAATCAAACGTTCAATCATATAATCTTCCATTTGTTATGATTCATTGATTCTTGCTCACGTTGGGACAGTGTTTGCAATTGAGTAATTCAACATCGATCGATCTTCAATAAATTTATGTTGGTTCGTGACATTGATCATGTACTACATGCTTTTTCTCATAATTTGGAATATAACAATCACTTTACTCTTTTGTTTTGGGCAAAAACAATCACTGTTGTATTAGTTTCGATTATTTCGGTTCTTAAACCATATTGGGACACAGTCATCCAAGGTTCAAAACTCTAGTACAATTACTTTTATATATTATTGCATCTCAGTATTATTGTTTTTATGATATAATGAAACTTAGATTGATGATATGTTGAGATCTCTTAGATCTTTTTGGTACGTTAAAAGCCAAGAATCAATTATTTTAATTTCTTTCTCTCTTTGCATTACTAACCACTCCGGATCATCTTTCTTCTTCGAATTGATATCTCGACAATGCGAACCTGCTCATATTACATTTTTTCGTAAGAAATTAGCATTATACATGAGAGTTCATCATATTCTAAAACGATTTGTTGGATAAAACTGAAAATTTTAATCAATTACCTTTCTCTGTCGTAATGGCGACAACACTATCTGAAATATCCTCCAAAACTCTAGAAATATATGGAAAATAATGTCATAAAAATCTTGTATACATTGATTCACCTATACCATACTCAAACATTGGTGAACAAATTGTTATGTTTGGTTACCCGCCAACGCTGTAAGGATCTGACAATCCATTAGAAAATATTATATTGCTCCCAAATCTTCGGAGGATTAACTTGATATCCTGCATAAGATATATTTCATAATATGTTATACTAATCAATTTCATTAAAATTTTTGATCTTTTCTCATTTTGTAAATTATCATATACACACACCTGAATGCCGAAGTAGGTTGTGATCCAATGTGGCCTAGGAATGACACCATACTGAGATTTACAGCCTTCAATGTAACTAGTCATATTAAACGGTGATGTTTGGAACATGGTATCTTGTTTGTCATGTCCAATTGGTATCACTATCTCGCTGCAGCACTATATATACAGATCATTTTAATGTAATTAAGTTTATAAAAACCTTATATCTATATGTTAAGTTAAGTTATCTTTTAATATGCCTTCAAATGCGTATATTTACATACCTGCCAACTATATGCCATTGCATCGCTCGCAACCAACACAGAATAATTAGTATCATAGCAAGATTGATTGCCGTGTGAAGCGACGACGCCTGCGAAAATCCGGTCTAGTATATCAATTTTACGGTTTGGTGGACCGGCATTAATTGCATCGCATACGTCGGTCACCCAAGAACCTTCGTCGTATTGAACACTTTCAACGTATATCGTATCCAAGAAGTCTTTAAGATCGAAGCTTTTATTTAATGGACTGCCAATTATTTTCAAGAAAAAACAAAAAAAGTTAAGCATTTAACAGTAGATTAATTCACTGGAAAAGACAAAACTGAAAATATATACATCTTCTTACTTACGTGCAAGTTTTAAACTTTTTGCTAAGGATCAATAAGCCGTTAGGTTTGGCAGCAACTCTATCGATTTCTTCCCAAGATTCGCGGATAGTATTGTAACATTTCTCATTCGTTTCCTAATGGGATTATATATTAGGAACTTAAAGAGAATGATGCAATTGAAATTAGTGGAAAGATTAGCAACATAATAATTGTGACTAATGAAAAAATTGAACTTGACTAATTGTGATAAAGCAAAAACACACTCCAACATGTTGACATGGTCTAATAATTAGATAATTGTTATTACCTTGTAAACTTTGGTTATAATATAATAATAACCAAATTTAGGAAGAGTATCTTCAAAGTAGAGAAGAGGAGCTGAAGATGCTAATGCCCCGTGTGCTATGTGCGGATATTTTAGCCTAAACCATGCTGCTAACACTGAGTATCCATGAAAAAACATAATTAAACCAATAACTTGTTATCATATAATGCTATTTGATATTATCATTGAGAGTAACGGATAGACTTGGCATCCATTTTATAAAAGTTTCTTTAGTTTTTTGGTAAAGCTAAAGTGGCCTCTTATAAATAAGTTTCGAGGTTGAGACTCTTTTTCAATTCTTGTCAACAAAATAATTACTATATATTATCCTATAAATAAAACGAAAAAAATAAGGAAAAGGAAAGTAGTTATAGCTTTTCTATAAGATATAATAATTTTGTTATGTGTTAAAGAGTAACTATATTACATTAACCACGCATAAGTTATGGACTAAATGGACTTATGATATATATGTATACTAGTGTACATAGACTTACTTCCACCATAGGATCCACCGACGACAATGATAGGGCTGTGTTTAGTGGAGTACTTCTCCTTAACATGCAAGAGAATTGCAGCGTAGTCTGCTAGGGCTTGAGCTGTGTTCAAATATCCCAACGTACTCGAGTTTTTCATTGCTTCTTTCAACGACCCAAATGGAATCGTCTTCCCATAATACCTATGCTGCATGCAGTATATATACATGTTGTATGCATTACATACAACTACTACAACAGATTTATAGAACGGCACAACTATATATAGAAATTAAACCACACATGCACACCTCTATGTAGACGTTGAGCGCTTTAAAATGAGGAGCGTTGTCTCTAAGAAAGCCGTAGGCAGACATATCAGTTTCTAACGACGATTCCATACCAAGAAACACTAAGATTGGTGCGTTCACTTTAGCACCGGCCCAGTGCTTGGCATCGACGGCGTATCGTTGTTGAAATGTCATGTAGCTTTCCGGTGTGAATGTGAAATGGTCGAGGGTCTGATTAAAGTAAAAAAACTTAAGATCAGATTCAGCATTTTTTTGTGTTGGTCCATCACCGGGTGCATTCTTTAGCAGAATTGGAGAAACCCCAAGTCGAGCGATTTTGGAGTGTACGGGAGAGATGAAGTAAGATGAAGATGTTGAGATTATCAAAATAAGGAGAATTGTAAATGGGAATGACATTTTTAGAGTGTTTTGTTTTTATCTTAGTAACTTTCTTAGTGTGTTATATCAATGCTAAAGCTTTATATAGAACCCCCAAAGGTTATAATGCACTATCCCATTGATTACAAAAAAAAAAAAATGTTATAATGCACTAAGTTATGTACTTAGCTGAGTTTCTGCCTTTGTGCGAATTTTTTTATAATAGCAACAAACGTGATATGAATGTTTGTATTTTATGTACAATACTTTTAGAACTATGAAATTTTTCACTTTAAAATTAAATTATAAAATTAAATAATTGAGAACTCGGAAATTGTCATTGTCGTATATTTTTTGTCTGTGCATTTATGTAGCCTATCGATATTCATCTATAATATTTGTTTGGTACAAGTTTTTCGCTTAAATTATGGAATAAACTGAAAAGAAAAAAAAAAAAACTGAACCGAACCGAATTGTATATGATTTTTATAAGATTTTTTTTTATAGAATTGAAAACCCGTAGAAAAACAAAAACAAAAATTAAATCGAAGAACGGTATATCTACCCTTCAAGTAAATCTCCAAATTGGTGTCATAAATAGAATTTATCAAAAATATAAATTACATTGCATCCAAGTAGCTAGGAGTTGCCTTTGGAGGTTATATCATGCTCTTTGGCTTCGATTTTACCTTGAGACCGGAAAATGTGTCTTTCTCATAAACGTACGTCCGAGTTTTTTATAAAGGCGTGCAAAGCGATTGGCAAAAGCATATATGTTGATCGCTTATTTAGCAATTGGCACCACAAAATTATACATGCTTTGCTTCATGAAGCTGCAATCATTTCTTATTTCTTTTATGTGTATAATTATTAACACCAAAAGTTATTTATATAGTGGTGCCTTCGGCCCAGACTTCCACTTTCTTTTTCTTCTTTCTTTTTAAATAATCGAATCTTCAACTTAGAGATCATAGACCAGCCATTATATAATAACTTGCGATGTGATGCATCTAGACCATATATCATTTTTTCCTCCAGACACAATAATTTGTCAATAAACAACGACTTGAATGGCTTGCCTTTATTGAATTCACAACAGTTCCATGTCTAAGGAATAGGATCATCTACATACATAACTGTATATTTTCATATGACATATATATACACATAAGTCACAAACACCAAGTGTTTCCAAAAAATTTGCAAGTACATATATATATCTACTTCAACGGTCATTTTTATATTTCGATAAAAGAATATAATAGGAAACTATATTATTCTTTGAGTAAATCTCTTCGCACTATTATTATATTTCGAGGATAATGTCATAGTACTATTGTTATTCTTCCATATGGTTCAATTCAAACCAGCTAGTCTCCGTTCACACTTCACATAATTATTTTGTCTCGTTCATGCCAACACTTCTAATCACAATGATCGCTCTATATGCTTTATATTTATTTTCCTGTATTTAATTTATCACGATTCTTCATGAATATTAAATTTATATTGTATCATGATAAATGTGTTTAATTCTAGATGTCGTCATAGATGGTGCTATCTAAAGATGATTACTTATTTTTTGAAACAGTCTCTAAAGATGAATAGTAAGGTCAAAGATATATATCTCTTTGGCTCTTTGTGTAATTCCTAGGTAGAGTGCAAACAATTAATGGTTCATATATCGTCCCCTCTCAATACATCCTGAAATGAAGTTAATCAGATAGCCTCCTTTTGTTTTTATCTTAAACATTCTGCGCCTTAATTATATTTACAGAGCTATGTTAGTAGTAGCTCTAAATTAGACGTAAGAAAATGAGAATAAATATAAATATATACGATCAATATTGTTAGTCTGACGATTCTAAGCTTAATTACTAATTAAATATTAGCGTAACATGAACTATTTTGGAAATTGTTACGCTGCGACAAAGAGACTGTGACATGAGAACACTTAATATTAGCCGTACGATGTGCTGTCCACCAAAATCCAATGATAAACCTAACCCTCGCCTTAACAAACACTTCAAACTCGATATTTCCCAACGAAGCTTGAGCCCTCAAATCCTCACCAATGGATTTAGGAACGGCGGCGTTTTGCACGATCAAGGTGTCATCAATCCGCGTAAAGTTCATCCGCGGTTGATGAAAAGGTTCCACTATGGTGTTTAACGCAAGGGTCTGGTCCTCGAACACCAAGAATATCTGGACGGAAGTGTAGTAAACCGAGAGCTGGTGGTTAGGGTTGTACGATTGGATGGTGATTCTGAACGTAGCTGACATGTAATTGTCGTTGGTAAGGATCAAGTTTTGGACCGACGCGTTTTGGACACTGTAATGAAGTTTCTTGCGTTTGGTTACGAGCCAGGTAATGAAAACACCTATAGCTATGACGTAGATTATGGTAAATATGAAGAAGATGACATGGCGAAGGCTACGGCGGCTTGACGAACTTATCGGAGGCATTGGATCTAGCTAGGAGGGTTTTTAAAGTTACACATTGGTTGATTTGTATGTTTTATATATATAGAAGTTGAAAAGGGTTCAGATAATTCTGATGTTTTTTTTGCTTCAGAATCTTAGGTTTTCTGTGTGTGTCAGTGTGTGTCAAATATTAGAATTCGAAAATTTTGAAAATGCTAGGATTCTGATAATGTTATTTGCTTCGGTATCTTACGTTGCTTTTTTTTTTTTTTGTAAAAGAGTATCTTACGTTGCTTCTAGCTAACCTTATGTTTATTTATCAAATATTCTTTTCTTTATAAAACGAAATTCAAAACCGAGTTCCTAAGTAATCAGTTTTGATGCATCAATTAAGAACACATCAATATATATGAATTTATCGAAATCTCATTCACATTTTATGAAATCGTGTCTCGTTCCATGCAATTAATACTATGCATTTTAATTTAATAAAAATTTATTTTTTGTTAGAGGCTGTTTTATATTTAAAACAAAAAACAAAAAAGATTGATCAATTTAATGACCATCAAGATGATAGCACCAGACTACATGAATATGGAAAGTTGCTACGTTATGGTCTTTACCTTGTTTTTATACAAACAAAAATGACAAATCAATTATTAGGAACAGAGCATCCAGCTTCCGCCCTAACCAATCCTGACATGGCCTAAGATTGTCATCTAGGAAACCTAGGCACTTAAGCTGAACATCATCTCATCAAACTAAACAGGAGAATCGGTTGGTATGACAAACTTCATTTCCATCTCATATTTGGGCTTTCCCATCTTTACCTTATCTTTGGGTTCCAGTATATGTGAGTTCTTTATTGGGCTTAAAATTATAAGCATACGAGGCCATAGACACCCTTTTTAATTGAGTGAGTTCTTTATACAATTAAAAAGAAAACCAATTACTTTAATAAAAAAACGAATAGTAATGAAAAATTTGGACCTCATAATCTCTTACATTATGAAGATCAGACCAGGTCAGGTTAAATTAGTTTTATAAATTAAAATTGTCTACTATGATTTATCTACCAATGAAAAAGTACGTACTCTACATCCAAAACTATGATACATTATAAATTTCAGGGTGTAGATATTTGCTTTTTCTGATACCTAATGTTCTTAAAGAGTTGTTTCATAATAATAATAAAAAAAAGAGGCTATAAATTGTGAGCTTAAACGTTAAAAACAAGTATAAATGTATAAATAATTCGTTCATGCATCGGATATGGGAGGATGAACAATACGATTATTAAAATGAAAATGCAAACTTAGTAATCACATATCAGCATCACAAGAACTATTTTGGGAATTTTGTAACTGCGACAACAAGACCGTGACATGAGAACACTTAACCTTAGCCGTATGATGTGCTGTCTTCCATACCCCGACTTTAAACCTAACCCTCGCCTTGACAAACACTTCAAAATCTATCTTTCCCGACAAAGTTTGAGCCCTCAAATATTTTGCATTGGATTTGGAAACGACCACGTTTTCTGCAACCAACGTGTCATCAATCTGCTTGACGTTCATCCTCGGTTGGTGAAACGGCTCGAGCGTGTCGAAGGCAAGCGTCTGGTCCTTGAATTTAACGAATATCTCGACGGAACTGTAGTAAACCGAGACTCTGTGGTTGAGATTGTGGGATTGGATGGTGAATTTGAACGTAGCTGACATGTGATTGTCGTTGGTAAGGTTAAAATGTTGAACCGAGGCGTTCTCAACAGTGTAATGAAGTTTCTTGGGTTTGGTTACAAACCAGGTAATGAGGAAACCTACAGCTGCGATGAAGATTAGAGTTAGTACGACGAGAACAACGTAGCATACAAGGCTATGGCGGCGCACTGCTGGCTGCACCGGCGAAGTTTTCAACGCCATTGGTTTTAGATTGGATTTGTAGTCACACATTGGTTCACATGTACGTTTGTACATATATATATATATCGATATATTAGATACTTGTGATGCAAGATACTTGAAAAGCACCTTGGATTCTGATGTTCTTTGCTTCAGCTGTCGAGAGAGCTGAGTCTTTTCATTGTCACTTTAGAACAATTTGTGTCTCGTGTACTTTGCTTTCCCATCAACTCTGTTTTAAAGGTTTATTTGGCAAATGTAAGACAACACTCAAACTGGCAAGTGGAACATGTTATATTATATTTATTAGAGATACCAAAAAGAAAGAAGATAATTCGGATAATAAAGTGTGTAAAACCTTATATATATTAGAGCATGCTCATATAATTTACATTTATGAGCTCTCTAAATTTTTTGTCGTTCGTAAGAATTTTACTATGATAAATTGTAATATTGTATATTCCATTCACAAAGAACTAGACGATTTTGGTTGGTTTTTTTCTTCTTGTTTATTCTGTTGATGTTTTCGTGTAGAGTAAACAAAAACAAAAAACAAAAAAAAAACAAACAAACAAACTTTGATTGAAACTAAGATGAATACACGCGTATAACTTGGGTTTTATTTTTCGAATATCAATCAATATGCAATTCAGTAGATGTCATGAAAGAAAAGAAAAGAACAATATTATGGTTTGAGAACTGGGCTTCAACAATTTCTACGACACTTTACTTTCTTTTTTTCTTTTTTTTTCTTACGTCAAAGAGACTTAGATTAACTCATGAAAACCAATTCAAAGGGCAATTGTTTACATATCTGACTAGTTGCGGACTGGGTTCTACGACGCTTTTGTGCACACCAAAATAAATATAAATCATAGGACTTGAAATGTTTTTTTTAGTCAGTTGGTTGTGTAAATGATAATAATGTAACAGGGTTCGAAATACTTTCATAACATTTCACCGGTTTTTTCGTTCTTTTTGGCTTTTACTTGGTTTACTTTTTGTTTTCTGGAGTGGGAAAGAAGTTTTCATTCATTTATTAATTTTTGGTTTAGCTCTTTTTCTAATAACAATGATTGTTTCTAATGTTTTTTTCATATATTCTAATATTTTAATAATAATTTTTTACATTAAAAATTATATGATTTTATGTTTTAGGCCATTAAAAGCATGCTTAATGGTGACACCTATTAAAAATATTTAAAACAATTAATTATAAAAAAATATACAAAAGTAATTTATTAGACACTCTTAAGTTGTTATAGAATTTTGACCTATTCAATGGTGATATTCAATGTAGGTGTTTAAAAGAAAAACTATATTAATAAACTTCAAACACGATCAAGTTTGTTGACTGGAGATGAAACAAGTCACTGTATAGCCAGCCAAAGAGATGTCAAAATACGTAAAATTCGTAAGAAACCAAACAATATGAATCTTTGGAAACAAAAAAATTTCAAAAAACCCCCCAAATTATTACAAAACAAAAAAGTAAGAAGCGATGAAAAACAAAATAAAAAATCAGAACAAGTAAAATTGGCTTCGATTGAGTTCAATATCGAGCTTCAAAACGTCTCCTTCGGCGGACACAGAAATGGAGAGAAAGGGAGAGATATTCACGGGGTTGAATTTTTCCTTCTTCTTTTTTTCTCCAACCAATAACACTTCGCCACGTTATTGGCTCTTAACCCACAAAACATATTTTATTTTAGACACTGATCTTAATAATTAAATCAAAATTTTGATTAAACTTTATTATTATACTATAAGAATTATGTTAACACGTTCAAAATATCACCATTGTATATGATCTAAGATCCAAAGACCACACCCATGCACACATATATATATACTTATTCCATCTATCAAACTATTTGATTCAAAATTAGTTCAATTAATTAAATAAAAATAAAATAAAATTCTTATGTGAATGTGTATGTAAGATATTTTTTAAATATAATATATATAACATATTTTTTTATTTTGATTGGCTAAATAAAAAAAATTGAATAATTAAGAATGGTTCACCCCTATAAAGATGAACCCAAGTACTTTTTTTTGGACGTATAGTTTTTATTTTTTATGTTCTGAGTTTGTGATTAATTAAAGTTGTCTTTTATTTTTAAAAATTTAATCACAAATTTTTTATAAGAAAAAAAATCATCGCTCAGTAGCAGTGCATATATACATTCACAAGTCATGACTGCATATATGATGTGATAAATTTTATAATTGATAGTATACGATGAAATATTTTTTTTTTAATAATCAAAGAAGTTTTCTGCCAAATCTTAATAATAAAATATTCCAAATCACTTTAAGAGTATGTTTTAATTGTTTCACAGTCTGTATTTAAATTTTTGTTTAGTAGATTTGTGACTCGTACCGTCAATAATTAAATATATTTTATTAATGTTTGATTTTTATTTCATAAGAGATGTAAATCTCGAGATAGAACATTACACTTTCAGAACTGGGTATCAACAATTTATAACACACTTTCTTACACAATCTGAGTCATCGCCACATTTGATGCGACAGTGCCATAAACATACTGGGTCCGGAACTATTTGACGTTGCGGAATAGTTATTTCCATCCTGCATATATATACATGATCCACAAATCATGACTACATATAGGTATACATACACACACACATTTATATATATTACCACATATTTGATTTGAAAAATTAGTTCAGTATATACAGATAAAATTAAATTAAAACTCTTTTGTGAATGTAAGATACATACGGCAGTGAGTGATGGTCTTCCTTCGACAAGTTCTCCATTCCATTGCATGCTTTTAGATGGCATCCTACCATTATCAATGCCATCATAATCATCATACACACTTTTTGCGCCATTCTTTTACAATTGTTTTTTTTATCAACTAATATTGTTTGGTAGAATATGTTTTTTTGTTATATACAGACATATATATATATATAGGTACAAGTTCTGAAGGAAAATTGTGTAAAATTTATTTCCATCATAATGCATTTATTAGTTTTGTTGGTTTGACTTGACTATAGCTATTTTGTAACTTTTGTTTAATTGCAATATCTCTAAGATGGGAAACAATGTAAATTTATGATTTTGAAATATCCTAATAACTTTCTGGTAATAAATCATTTTCTAATATAATTAAATGATTTTATGCTAGAAATGTATTATACATTTACTAATTTGGTTGGTTTTGACCGTTTGACTTAATTACAATCAATTCTGTATAGTATTATAGTAAACAAAATAAAAAGTCATAGTATATATTTATTTCTATATGGACAAGATCCTCATGATTATGGCAAGTTTGGGTAATTAATTCTCTGTAGATATATATTTCAAAATATCAATAGGAAATTATGACTATTTAGGATTAGTGATTTAGGACTCTCTACTTATGATCACAGATTGACAGGTCATGATCAACATTTTTTAAATGATAAACAGATTTGAGATTGTTTTAAGGATAAACATTGTTTTTGGTTAGATTTTGATTTTTAAAAAATAGTATTTATTGTTTGCTAGTATATGCTTTGTGTTATATACACACATATATTTATAGATACATGTTCTCAAGGAAAATGTGTATGTAATGATTATTTGTATCAAATTTATTGCAATATCAAAATACATTTATTAGTTTTGCTGGTTTGACTTAATTATAATTATTTTTGTAACTTTGGTTTTATTTGCAATATCTTTAATATGGGAAAAAATGGAATTTTATGATTTGGAATATAACCATTAGTTAAAGTAACTAATCATTTTCTTATAAATTAAATAAACTATGCTAGAAATGCACCATATGTATACATTTACTATTTTTTTATTTGACTTGAATGTAATTAATTTTGTATAGTATAATAGTAAACAAAATAATAAGCCATACATATATAAATATTTATTTATATATGGACAAGATATGTCATGATTGTGGCAAGTTTGGGTAGTTTCTCTTCATCTCTGAAGATATATATTTCAAAATATCAATATGACTATTCAGGATTAGTGATTTACATATCAATATTTCAAAATATCAATATGACATAACATACCATCATTAGATATCATTATCTATAAAAATCAATGGTCATCAAATTAATTTATATCATATTTAAAACTTAATTATACTTCAGTATGATTAATTGGTATTTGGTCATTATCGTGGAAATGCAGTGAACTCCACTTTATTGGTTAACAACATATCAAATATATTTATCAATGAAAAAGTTCGTAGGTTTTTTATAGACTCACTTTTGAATAATGTGAGTGGTTAGAATTTAGATTAAGTAACCTTTGATTTTTTTTTATTTTTTTTTTTGAACATCTAACTTATAAACCTTTGATTTATAAGTTAAAAACCTAACATATATGCCACTAGGTTTATCTCTCTGATATGAATGTATGATAAACATTAATTAGAAAAATATAAATATTAGTTTACGCTGTACGTATCTTACTAATTACCTGTCACTTTTAAAATGTAGATTCATAGTGTAGTAGTGCGGTTTATGGGTCACTATCGTTGAAGGTGCAGTTACCAGAACAAGTAAAGAGAATAAAACTACACGATCTAATTAAATATCTAATGGTAGAATAATTTTTTGGTTTTTAATATATACAAATTTGAATAAAGTCTTTTATTTGTGTCTGGCCTTTTATAGATTCATGTCACATGCATATCAATGAATAACGTGTTATATCTAGAGGTGGTTGATAAATGGGTTTAGATATTAATTAAGTAAGTAATTATAGTCTAGAGGTGATTGATGAATGATAAATGGGTTAGAATATGAAGTAAGTTGAAGATGAAATAATTATAGTTAGCATGCCCTGGAGTTAATTTGTATCCAATAGACAATTCATATTTTGCTTCAATTTAGATAGATTATTTCTTGATTTAAATTATTTAATCAACTCAACAATATCCTTTTTATTTTAGAATTTTATCCTCGCAAAATCTAAATGGTACGTAGATCCACGGTTCTCTGCTTCCATCACATACTTCAAGTGAAGATTTCAGCAATTCTGATAGGCTTTTATTCCATTTTTTATAATGTTTTATAAGTTGTGATATTTTTTTGAGACAACTACTACCAAAATATTTAAGATTACGTTGCGATATTCGATATTTAGTTTTCAAGAATGATAAAGTTAAAACGACAAAATTATGTAAAAACAATAAATTAGTTATTTTCAAATTTTCTTATAAACGTCTATGTTGTTTGAAGAGATGATAATCTATACTATTAATTGGGAAGGACAACTTGAAGCCAAACAGACCCAATTTAAAAAAAAAAATTTCATTAAATATATTTCAGTTGCCAAACAAAACTAATGACAGCAAAAATGTTTTAATAAATAAATAAATAATAAAAAACAGAAACTATCTATATTTATGGATCATACTAATTTTGTTGCCAAAAAAGTGGAAAATTAAATTCGAAAATCCCCATGTATATAACATATTTAACATTTTTAGATATTTTTAAACAATAATTTAATATTTAATAAAATCTAATCTATAGTATTTTTTATTTGGTTTAATGATTTTATTCAAGTGTTTATGTTATTTGTATTTTGTATAACTCTTATGATATGATATATATTTATTTTGCGTTACAAAAATCATCATATATATTTTTTTTTTTTATATTGATGTTTTAGGAAAAATAAAAGAAAAATAAATATGTTATATATTTTACAATAGCATAAAATATGGAGAAATATTCAAC